TTTTTCTTCTCTGGATTTCTTGTATTAACTTTTATTCTCATTCTCATACCAGGAATTAAACACTACCAAGGACTTTATTGATGCCCTTGGGGGGGGGGGGGGGAATTATCTCGAGGGAATTTGTTAGTTTTCATAGTCAAAGTGTCAAACACTTATTTAGAAATTGGAAAATTCCATTCATGTCATTATGATCAAAAACATGGTGTTCTAAAAAATTTATACACAAATTTGACTGATTTATGAATAAAACGCTGACATCTTTGGGCAAACAATGAAGATGTCAAGGCCATTTCCTACCACAACCTCTCAGATGCAATGCCTACACTATAAAGTGGCAATTTTATCAGGATGAGGCGTAGTCATTTTGTGTAGTACAAGACTAGGATGAGGGATAGTTACTATAAGGTACATACTTTAGAGTGTTGTACTATACTATGGGAGCAAAATTACTTAGGTGAAATTATATGATTTTGAAAGTACAAAAGTTTTTGTAAAGCCTTTATGGTATTTTTAGTTAATGGTTTATGCTTCATTACTTGGGTGTGGTACTTTTACCGTTTCATCGGGTAAAAGAAGAACCAAATGTTTAGAGTATTAACATAGTCCTGATATCATTTTTGGTATCAGTGAATATAAAATGTCATGGATATATGGTCTATAGGTTGCTTGATGTATTACTTCTTGGCCAGATAATTTTCTCTGAATGTGTGTCCATTCTTATCTTTGAATTCCACCTCATCTCTCCATAATATTTTTTAAAGATTTTATATCCAAATTTGTATAGGCATCTCTCTCTAAGAAAATTTTTTTAATCAATATTCTCAAAACAATACTTTCATTTTGAGAAGAGTCTAGTTTTTAGCGTAGGTCATTGTTTTCAATTTAATATTAGTTTATGTTTGTAAGAACTAATCTCTATATGTTATTAATTTATCCACTTTTTTTAATTTTTTAATTTTGAGTAATTTTTTTCAAACAGTAGACTTATGTAAAAATATGTGCAAATTAAAAAGTAAAAATTTGTAATAACTAGTTTTGCCAACATTGAATTAAACTAAACACAACATTTAACAAAAACACAACCTCACAAATAATTTTTTGATAAAAAGAAGAGAGAAGTTATAAATCAAGGAAAAGTTTTTAGTACAAGAAAGAAATAAAATAAATATTCTTGATTGATTAGACCTTCCAATTTAAAAATGCTATTAAACTTTATAAGAGATTAGAGATTATAAAGATTTGAATGTTAATATTTTCAATTGACAGGATATTATGTGTGTGTGTGTGAGAGAGAGAGAAAGAGATTGTGTTATAACATGTTGAATACTAGCTTGTTTGGATGAATTTTGAAGTGGAGTTTGGATTGATTTTTTCAAATTCAAACCCTTCTTTGTAAAGATGATGTTCAACATTTAATCCAGTCCATACCAATATTTGGTATGTAACACATATACATGTAGGACTCACAAATATATCATAATTATTAACAACTATTTTGTCCTATAAATGACTATTTTACCCTTATTCAATTTAATTCATACTCATGTTAAAAGGTAAAATTGTCTTTTGGATCTTTAACCCCTTACTCATTTTTCCAAATCCACCCTCCTCTTAGGTTTGACAAAATTCATGATCATGAGTTTAATCTTTCAGCCAGTTATAGGCCGAGTTTGAAAATCTGGGACTGAATTTTTTAAACAAATATGAGATTTGGGGAAATTTTAGACTATTTTTCTCAAACTCATCTTGTCAACCCCCCCCCCCCCCCTAACCCCTTTACTAAATAGCCCCCAAGTCCTTGACTTTCTTGGGTTTAAGTGGGAGAAAATAAAATTAGTACCATATTAATTATCACTGGTTTTGGGTGTTTATATTATTTTTTTTAGTATTTTATAAAATTTTGAGATATACACATATTTGGGGTTCATTTATTATTTTATTGGTGAAACTTAGCACTTTTCAGGATAAAATTAAAAATCTTTTAAACCTTTTTTCATTTTTTTTGGTATTATATCAAAAAATAAATGACAGTGTTATAGTGTTTCTTGACTTTTTTAGGTGTTTATTTATGATACATGTTAATAGAAAGATAGAATGAATATACTTTCCATACTTACATAAATAAATATTATTTTTCTTTATTTTTTGTTGAGTGTGATGGATAAAAAGTTGGAGAGATTAATTTTTCATTACTCGGTATTGGAGGAAAAATGAAAGGAATGAAACGCATAAAAATTTAATTTACCATTATACCCTCGCACAAAAATTTGTTATAATCCCCTTATATATTTTAGGGTTAAATGTATTGAAGGCCCTCAAAGTATAAAATTGTCTTATTTTAGTCTCAAATATTTTAATTACATTATTTTAGTCCCTGAAATATTAAATATATTTCTATATGGTCCCTAAAAAAGACAACATTAATATCACAAATGATTTTTTTATCATAAATTTGTCATGTGATACCTAAATATATGTAAAAAATAATTTGAGTAGTTCTTGACCAAAATTTGGATAACTCTTGATCAAAAATATATAATATGACTAGATCTTGACTAAAATTTGAATAGTTCATGATCAAAATTGCATAATTTAAGAAACTCTTTGATTAAAATTTGAGTAAAAATTTTGTCAAAAGTTACCTAATTTTTTTTTCTTCCCATATTTAAGTATTATGTGACAAATTTATAATAAAAAATAATTAACAATTTAGATATTATTTACTTGAGAGACCATATAAAAATATATTCAGTACTTAAAAAATTAAAATTATACAATTAAAATATTAAAAATCAAAATAAGACAATTTTCATATTTTATAATCCCCCAGTACAATTAACTCTATATTTTAATTATATACATTTGACTCGTACAATTTTTTCTTGGAGACGTGTTGTTTAACAGCTCACATGGGTGTAAACCCAAATGCCTCCCCCCAACACCCCTTGATAAGAAAGCAACCGCCCCATAGAGGATATTATCTAAAGTCTTGTCCCGTCGAGGAACTGAATTCTATACAAGGCAATAATTATTTGTCTACGCAAGTTAATAAGTATTCACTCATTTTTCTATATAAATCCAAAACTATTAAAGTGATGTTCATTTTATCATTATTATTGATGTGGTTTCGATGAATATTTTCGTCACTTCCACCAACTAACCTAAAAATATATACATTAAGTGCAAGAAAGCAACGTCCACCTAGAATAGTGACATCTTTTAAGACAATCTTTGTTGATTTCCGACTCATTCTTCTCTCCATGGCACCACCAATGCTCTTCCGACTCATTCTTCTGTTTCTCCTTTCCGGCATGATCACGTCGTGGTCCATCGTCAAGACTCTCCCAGGCTATCTTAGTGATCTCCCGTTTCAACTAGAAACTGGGTAAGCCTATACATTTTCTGCTTCTTTTTTTTCTTCGATTTACTATCATTTCATGCTATTTTTTAAAAAGTAAGAAAATGTGTGAATTATGAATTTACGATCATTTGGGGGTGAAGTTACGTTGTCAATCGTATTATTTTGGTTCATCTTATTTTTGTATCGTGTCATTTTTTTCGTGTTCTTGTGAGTAAAAATTTAATCAAGAATTATTTAAATTATTTTTTGTTCATATTTAAATATCATAGGATAAGTTTATAATAAAAAAATCGTTACAAATTTAGACGATGTCTACTTAAAAGGACAATATAAAAATATATTCAATATTTCGTAGATTAAAATAATACAATTAAAATATTATAAGATAAAATGAGATAAATCTTGTACTTTGGACCTTAAATACAATAATCCAATATTTAAGACATGGTTAGATATAATCTTATTAGCCATTATTCGATACAAACTTTCGTGCAGTTTACCTTCTTGAGAAAAGCAATCAATGGCACCGCCGAAACCGGCACCGGACCAGCAAACTAAGAAACTTCAAGTCTACCTCACTCCGGTGCTGCTTCGAGCCATTCTTCTGTTGCTCCTCTCCGACACCATTGTCCCACAGTCCATCATCAAGACTCTACCTGGATTTCCCGGTGATCTTCCATTTGAACTTGAAACTGGGTAGGTTCTATCTGCTCTCTCATTTTACTCCTCTTAGGCATTTCTTCAAACAGCTATCAGTCACCAAGGTACTGTCCCACTAACGAACATTTTGGGATTGAAGTTACATTGGTGTAGGAGAGAGAGATGAAGTGCAGTTATTCTACTATTTCCTTGAATCAGAAAGGAATCCAAGAGATGACCCTCTTATACTTTGGATGGCGGGTGGCCCTGGTTGTTCTTCTCTTTTTTCCTTCTTCTATGAAATCGGTACTTTTCGAAATTCTTAAATCTCATCTACAGAAAATATTGGTGGGTAATATATTTTGGGGGACCCATCTGGATTCGAACCCATTGGCGAGTCATGGAGGCTGTGACAATGGCTGTAAGTTTGATTTTGGGTGGTGGGTAGACGAATGCACATATCAGTATGTTTGTAACTTATTGTCGCCTGTAGGTAGAGGTGGTGGGAAACTCTTTGTCGGAGGTAGAGCTGACAATGGGTTGTCCTGTCAAAATTTATTAGTCCATAAAGTATAATCAGTTGGGTTTGTGGCAATCTAGGTTAAAGTAGGCCTGAATCGCCTGACAGATTTGTCATCCAAAATCAAATCTTTTAATTTTATGTGGATTTTCATATTCGGCGAACATGTCGAGAATTGGCTGGCGGTCGGTCTCGGTGGTGGCAATGTTTTGATATGTCTCTGGTGTGGTGTTGCACGGTGGGTATGCGGTGTGGGCTTTTTGATGACTCTCATAATTGAGCATTGTTATATTTACTAAATTATTTATTAAATTTTATATATCAAAGCATAATAGTGGTTGGATTAATGGGTCTTACTCTCTCCTACAAAATATTTAAGAGTAATGCTAGATAGACTTAAAAACTAGACTTAAAAATTAGACTTGATAATCTCAACCATTGAATAGATAGTGGATCCTAATAAATGATGGGACCCACAGTGAAATCAATGGTTGAGATTATCAAGTCTAATTTTTAAGTCTACTTTTTAAGTCTATGTAGCATTGCTCAATATTTAATGCATAGAATTTTTTTCTTTTTCAACAGTTAAAGATGTCTCGGTCATCTGATGTACACTCTCGATCACTACATCGAGATTAGGGTATTCATGAAGAATAAATTTTTCGTCAATTGATTCAAAAGATTGTCAAAATTCAAATTCAAGACATTTTAGTTTACAGATTATATTTGATACCACTTGAACTACTCTTTACGACGATTAATGCGTAGGATTCCACAGTATAATTTGGAATTTTTGATAAATTTTTTGGTGAGCTTCATTGCTCAAGTAGTCAAATGGAATTAAAATATACAAAATTTTCAAAATGTCACATTTTTTGAGTCAAAAATAAAATCAATGTTTAAGGATAAAATTGGTACAAGCCCTAAATTTTAAATTTTTAGGATGATTGATGTTTTTTCTTTTCATTGTAGGACCTCTTAAATTCAATTTTACATTGAACCCTTCAAATTCCGGCGAAAGCAAACCAACATTGGAGTTGAACCCATACTCTTGGACAAAGGTATAAGCGAGACCATTTACCGCACCTCAAATTCGAAACCAAAAATAGTTGGTGATCAATAACAAAGCGCCTTCTTTTTTTTCCCACCTGCCCAAAACTTGATCGGAATCGAAGTTTCTTGTACACTGCTGATTGGTTATAGTAGAATATGAATTTGTCAAGTTATGAAAAGTGATTACGACATTGTAGGTAGCCAACATAATTTTTATAGATCAACCTGCTGGTAGTGGATTCTCTTATGCGAAAAAATGGGAAGCTTACAACAGCAGCGATACGAGATCAGCATCACTAACATATGATTTTCTTAGAAAGGTGACAGCAACTCTTGGAATACTAAAGCCATTATATTTATTTCGATAATACTTACGGTGAATAATTGTTTCTTCATTTTGGCATATGATATAGTGGCTTGTGGATCACCCCAATTTTCTGAACAATCCACTATACATCTGTGGTATCTCCTATATTGGCATTGTTGTTCCAATCGTTGTTCAGGAGATATACAATGGTATGGTCTTGGAGATTCCTTTTATCTTCAAGCTATGTTCTATTTTTCCTTTTTATTCATCTCTCTCTGAACTTCCGTCAATAAAATCAAGGTCGTGTTTAATTTGCATATTAGAAACAGTTTTTCTATTTTCGGAAACAGTTTGTGGGAGACAAGCTGTTTGACCAGCTGTTTTTGCTTTTTGTTTTTTGAAAACTGAGAACAAACAAGTTGTTTGACCAAGTTTTTCCTTAAGCAAGGTTTGGCTCATTTAGTTGTTTTCATTCTTTTTCCTACTTTTTTTGTTTTTGTTTTGTATGTGTAGGTAATGAAGCTGGAAAGGAGCCAAGAATGAAAATTAAAGTAAAAGATTATATTAAACATCTTGACTGGGCTGTGTTAATTTTTTTTCCATGCTTATTCACCATCTTTTTTTATTGTGTATTCTGCACTAGCATTGAATTTAACTGTCTCTGAATTGGATTCAGGGATACATTCTTTTCAACCCTCTAACAAATAGAAATAGTGACATTAATTCGAGAATCCCATATGCTCATCGTGTGGCACTTCTATCAGACGAACTCTATGAGGTAAGAATTCCATATCTAATAGCAAGTTTTGAATTTTCTTGACCTCCAAACACCCTATAATTAGCGGTGTCAAAATATAACAAGATATGAATACAACACGAAATTATAAGATTTACCAAATTGGGTATGGGTGAAGTCAATCAAAAAAAATATACAATACAATTCGTTTATATACTAATTATATACAATTGATACACAACACGTATCCGATATAAGCCAAAAGTGTTATCCCATGAGCATTCGATTTATATACATTATGTTTTGTGGATTTCAGTCAGCCAAATCAAATTGCCAGGGTGTGTACATAGCAGTAGACCCCGACAACAGATTATGTGCAAGTGATCTTGAAGTCGTAAACGAGGTGATCAGCAGGAATAGTTCCTAATCAACTTAATTTTCATAACATGTGTTTCCATATTTAATATTTTTAGGTGTTAAAACGATCTACCATTTGATTGCAGTGCGTCGAGAAAATCTATTTTGATCAAATTTTAGAACCTATTTGTCTTACTACAATTTCAAAACCTAATTTGCTGAGAAGTTACAGAAGCTCTCTTGAGGAGAATCCCATCGATATCATCTGGTCGCTACCTCGACTTTCAGAACCATGGTGTCGAGTAATCCCCTCGACCCCCCTCTCACCAATATAGTAATTGGTTTGTCATATTCAAAATTACAAAACTATTACATTAACTTTCTTATCTGTGTTTTTTTTTTCTATAGGACAATACTTATAAAGCAGCTGCTGTTTGGGCTAATGATAAAGCTGTACAAAATGCTCTTCACATTCGTGAGGTACGTGTATGTAATCTAACGAGCATTTACGTTCACATTCAATTCATTTCATCAATCAATCTGTTTGTGATCATCAGGGGACTATAAGAGAGTGGGTGCGATGCAATAAGAGCATACAATACTCGTTTGGTTTAAGTGAGACTGTGTCTTACACATTCAATGTCCCTAGTTCTGTTGACTATCATCGAAATCTAACAAACAAAAAGTGTCGAGCTTTAATTGCCAGGTAATTCTATCCCAGAACCGTCTTTATTCATGTTTCTGTTGTCATCCACTACAAAGTTCATCTATTAGGAGCCAATAGTACAATCCTTTCCGAAAACATAAACTAAATGGAACTTGCAATTGAATACTAGAAATCTTAGTCATACTAATAGAATTTCATTCGTAGTATTGCATTCCTATGGTTTGAACGAACCAAAAACTATGGTCATACACCCTAATAATGTCCACCCACCCCCTCAAAAAAGAAAAAGAAAAATCTTATTATTCTAACTCAAGTTTTTATCTTCCAAAAGCGGCGATCATGACATGGTGGTTCCACATCTGGGTACAGAGAAATGGATACGTTCTTTAAATCTGACCGTCGAAAGTGATTGGGAGCCGTGGTTTGTTGAAGGTCAAGTAGCAGGGTGGGTTCCTAAACTACTAAACATATTTTGCAACGTAAATTTGAGCTTACAATTGATTATAATGTTGATGTGCTGTGGCATTATTATTTTATACAGATATACAGAATCCTATATACACAACGACTACTCGCTGACATATGCAACAGCAAAGGCATGAAATCTTGTGCTTAATTTTTTTCTCAAGTTATGGATCCACCAAGTGCAAAATTGAATTTAATTATGTCCTCATACTTTGTATAGGGAGCGGGTCATACAGGTCCAGAACATAAACCTAAAGAATATCTAGCCATGGTTGATCGGTGGTTTGCTTTTTCTCCTCTCTAATTGCCGGTGGCATCTCCAAATCAATTCAATAACTGTTTCTTATGAAATCTTTGTAGCTTTCTTACCAAGTAATTGTAGCATTTGTTAGTAAGCATTGCTAGCGATTGTTTCCTTTTTTCTTGATGCTTGCTAGGATCAAAATTATGTATTATTCCCACTGAAATTACAAATATCTCGGTTTCAATGAAAATTGAAACGAAATAGTGACATTAAATATTAAAGTTTTTATGTTTCTAAGGTTTTGGCCAATGTTGGAGTAATAATGTCATTTGTGTTGCAACCAATAAATATTGCTAGCGATTGTCTTGTATTGTCACTCGTGCTTTGTAAATATCAAAATTTTGTTTTATTCTCACTAAAATGACGGAAATATATCAGCTTTAGTAGAAATTGAAATGAATAAGTGAAATTGAATATTGAAATTCACGGTTTTGAGTGTTTCAAGATGTTTTGACCAATCTTTCATTTTTTTTTCACTATATTTTTTAAAATGGTTCAAATACATATCCTCTAACCAAATAAACCAAAACAAGACGTCGTACAGAGGAGTGGGATAAGAGAAAAGGAGGAAGGGATTTTCTTCCTTGTGGACTTTGAGACAAAAATGTTTTGAAATAGTCAAAAAAGTAAAATATTTCTGTTTCTAATAAGATCAAAAAGTGATTAAATTAAAATTCTAGTGATTTGCGATGTTTGAAGGTATTATTTTCAAATGTTTCATCATATTTTTGCAAATATTTCAAAATATTTTTAGCTTTTTAAAGATATTTTGATTAATATTTTTGAAATAAATTCATAAATTTTTATCTATTTTCTTTATGTTTTTGAAGAGACCAAATTTTTTTTTTAATCTTTTTTACTATTAAAGAGGCCAAAATAATACACTAAAAGGAAATTTCAATCATCAAGTAGATTATGCCAAGTAAGATTTTAAACACTCACAAATTGATAGGATATGTATGATTCTATTCTTTTATACCTGATTCCAATATTTTTGTAAGTAGACTTTCTTCGGGTCTGATGGTGGATTACCCTCGTTCCACGCCACATCATTTTCACTTGCGCAAATAGATGTTGAAAATATATAGCAAGTCTCCATCGGAACAGGCAAGAAATAATCTTAAACACAGATCTAGATGAACCATTTGGGCCAATCAAATTGAATAGCTTTTGTTGATTCAAAACTAAAGCAAGTTAGATGTGAATCATATAGTGTGGGGTCATGTATAATTCCTCCTACTCGTCCACTAGTAGCCGGCAATTTTGTTTTTGGCACCGGACGGTCATCAGCAATGTTTCAATACTTCTTGTTCCTTCCCTACCTTGACCCCAACTTTCACGAAAATGATACTTGGACAATTACCCACCACTTTGTTTGATTCGAAAATTTTCCACATGTGGGATTTTTCGGCCAAACTCTTTGGGACACAAATTTCTTTATAGTTGATGTTTTTCTTCTCTGGATTTCTTGTATTAACTTTTATTCTCATTCTCATACCAGGAATTAAACACTACCAAGGACTTTATTGATGCCCTTGGGGGGGGGGGGGGGGAATTATCTCGAGGGAATTTGTTAGTTTTCATAGTCAAAGTGTCAAACACTTATTTAGAAATTGGAAAATTCCATTCATGTCATTATGATCAAAAACATGGTGTTCTAAAAAATTTATACACAAATTTGACTGATTTATGAATAAAACGCTGACATCTTTGGGCAAACAATGAAGATGTCAAGGCCATTTCCTACCACAACCTCTCAGATGCAATGCCTACACTATAAAGTGGCAATTTTATCAGGATGAGGCGTAGTCATTTTGTGTAGTACAAGACTAGGATGAGGGATAGTTACTATAAGGTACATACTTTAGAGTGTTGTACTATACTATGGGAGCAAAATTACTTAGGTGAAATTATATGATTTTGAAAGTACAAAAGTTTTTGTAAAGCCTTTATGGTATTTTTAGTTAATGGTTTATGCTTCATTACTTGGGTGTGGTACTTTTACCATTTCATCGGGTAAAAGAAGAACCAAATGTTTAGAGTATTAACATAGTCCTGATATCATTTTTGGTATCAGTGAATATAAAATGTCATGGATATATGGTCTATAGGTTGCTTGATGTCTTACTTCTTGGCCAGATAATTTTCTCTGAATGTGTGTCCATTCTTATCTTTGAATTCCACCTCATCTCTCCATAATATTTTTTAAAGATTTTATATCCAAATTTGTATAGGCATCTCTCTCTAAGAAATTTTTTTTAATCAATATTCTCAAAACAATACTTTCATTTTGAGAAGAGTCTAGTTTTTAGCGTAGGTCATTGTTTTCAATTTAATATTAGTTTATGTTCGTAAGAACTAATCTCTATATGTTATTAATTTATCCACTTTTTTTAATTTTTTAATTTTGAGTAATTTTTTTCAAACAGTAGACTTATGTAAAAATATGTGCAAATTAAAAAGTAAAAATTTGTAATAACTAGTTTTGCCAACATTGAATTAAACTAAACACAACATTTAACAAAAACACAACCTCACAAATAATTTTTTGATAAAAAGAAGAGAGAAGTTATAAATCAAGGAAAAGTTTTTAGTACAAGAAAGAAATAAAATAAATATTCTTGATTGATTAGACCTTCCAATTTAAAAATGCTATTAAACTTTATAAGAGATTAGAGATTATAAAGATTTGAATGTTAATATTTTCAATTGACAGGATATTATGTGTGTGTGTGAGAGAGAGAGAAAGAGATTGTGTTATAACATGTTGAATACTAGCTTGTTTGGATGAATTTTGAAGTGGAGTTTGTATTGATTTTTTCAAATTCAAACCCTTCTTTGCAAAGATGATGTTCAACATTTAATCCAGTCCATACCAATATTTGGTATGTAACACATACACATGTAGGACTCACAAATATATCATAATTATTAACAACTATTTTGTCCTATAAATGACTATTTTACCCTTAATCAATTTAATTCATACTCATGTTAAAAGGTAAAATTGTCTTTTGGATCTTTAACCCCTTACTCATTTTTTCAAATCCACCCTCCTCTTAGGTTTGACAAAATTCATGATCATGAGTTTAATCTTTCAGCCAGTTATAGGCCGAGTTTGAAAATCTGGGACTGAATTTTTTAAACAAATATGAGATTTGGGGAAATTTTAGACTATTTTTCTCAAACTCATCTTGTCAAACCCCCCCCCCCTAACCTCTTTACTAAATAGCCCCCAAGTCCTTGACTTTCTTGGGTTTAAGTGGGAGAAAATAAAATTAGTACCGTATTAATTATCACTGGTTTTGGGTGTTTATATTATTTTTTTGAGTATTTTATAAAATTTTGAGATATACACATATTTGGGGTTCATTTATTATTTTATTGGTGAAACTTAGCACTTTTCAGGATAAAATTAAAAATCTTTTAAACCTTTTTTCATTTTTTTTGGTATTATATCAAAAAATAAATGACAGTGTTATAGTGTTTCTTGACTTTTTTAGGTCTTTATTTATGATACATGTTAATAGAAAGATAGAATGAATATACTTTCCATACTTACATAAATAAATATTATTTTTCTTTATTTTTTGTTGAGTGTGATGGATAAAAAGTTGGAGAGATTAATTTTTCATTACTCGGTATTGGAGGAAAAATGAAAGGAATGAAACGCATAAAAATTTAATTTACCATTATACCCTCGCACAAAAGTTTGTTATAATCCCCTTATATATTTTAGGGTTAAATGTATTGAAGGCCCTCAAAGTATAAAATTGTCTTATTTTAGTCTCAAATATTTTAATTACATTATTTTAGTCCCTGAAATATTAAATATATTTCTATATGGTCCCTAAAAAAGACAACATTAATATCACAAATGATTTTTTTATCATAAATTTGTCATGTGATACCTAAATATATGTAAAAAATAATTTGAGTAGTTCTTGACCAAAATTTAGATAACTCTTGATCAAAAATATATAATATGACTAGATCTTGACTAAAATTTGAATAGTTCATAATCAAAATTGCATAATTTAAGAAACTCTTTGATTAAAATTTGAGTAAAAATTTTGTCAAAAGTTACTTAATTTTTTTTTCTTCCCATATTTAAGTATTATGTGACAAATTTATAATAAAAAATAATTAACAATTTAGATATTATTTACTTGAGAGACCACATAGAAATATATTCAGTACTTAAAAAATTAAAATTATACAATTAAAATATTAAAAATCAAAATAAGACAATTTTCATATTTTATAATCCCCCAGTACAATTAACTCTATATTTTAATTATATACATTTGACTCGTACAATTTTTTCTTGGAGACGTGTTGTTTAACAGCTCACATGGGTGTAAACCCAAATGCCTCCCCCCAACACCCCTTGATAAGAAAGCAACCGCCCCATAGAGGATATTATCTAAAGTCTTGTCCCTTCGAGGAACTGAATTCTATACAAGGCAATAATTATTTGTCTACGCAAGTTAATAAGTATTCACTCATTTTTCTATATAAATCCAAAACTATTAAAGTGATGTTCATTTTATCATTATTATTGACGTGGTTTCGATGAATATTTTCGTCACTTCCACCAACTAACCTAAAAATATCTACATTAAGTGCAAGAAAGCAACGTCCACCTAGAATAGTGACATCTTTTAAGACAATCTTTGTTGATTTCCGACTCATTCTTCTCTCCATGGCACCACCAATGCTCTTCCGACTCATTCTTCTGTTTCTCCTTTCCGGCATGATCACGTCGTGGTCCATCGTCAAGACTCTCCCAGGCTATCTTAGTGATCTCCCGTTTCAACTAGAAACTGGGTAAGCCTATACATTTTCTGCTTCTTTTTTTTCTTCAATTTACTATCATTTCATGCTATTTTTTTAAAAGTAAGAAAATGTGTGAATTATGAATTTACGATCATTTGGGGGTGAAGTTACGTTGGCATAGGAGAAAAAGATGAAATACAGCTGTTCTGCTACTTCATTGAATCAGAAAGGAGTCCGAAAGATGATCCTCTCATACTTTGGCTTCCTGGCGGCCCTGGTTGTTCTGGTCTTCGTGCCTTTTTCTATGAAATCGGTACGTTTGATACTCTTAAACTCATCGAATAAGTTGAACTTTCCAAAACTTAGGTGGTCAGTGTTCTAGCAAGTGTTAATGGTCTCCTGCATGCATAGTGTTATTTCAGAAACAATGATGCCTTCAACTGTAATATGATAAATTAAAGAAAGGTGTTATTTGGACTTAATTTAATTAAAAAGGGTTTGTGTGTACTTTCTCTGGAAAGTAAAAGTACAACTCCCATCAATCAGGCGAACAATCCTTCGGTCAATAAAAGACGGCAAAATCTTAAAAAAATCACGTTAAGGTTTCGCTTTGATTAGAAAGAAAATAACGTTAGAAATTGAATGCGATAAAAAATGAAATAAAAGAAAAGAACAGAAAATATATATTTAGTTAATATGAAAAATGAATACGAAAATTTTAAATTTTTTTTATAGCTTAAAAAGAGAAAAGTTATAATAAAATTTGTTTAAATATTAATATTATTCTTATCTATATTAGAGAGATTTATATCCAATAGATAATAACTAACATAAGAGAAAATATGGATAAACTAGAAAACTAGTTATGCCTGTTCAACTTTTTTGAGAAAAAATTAATTTCTTGTATGCAAGCAACAAAAATTACATATTACTAGAAAATTTTGTTAGTCCAAGAATTTAGTTTCTAACAGTTTCTAACATTATCATGTTAAACAAAATAGTAAAAACTCAAATTTCTCTTTCTCTTTCTCGTACTTTTCATCAATCTCTCGCTAACGAAACAAAGGTTAAAGAAAATAAATTATATTTTAATTCTTTTAATCATAAAATAAAATTTACTTCTTCCTTGAACTATTGAATTACTTCACATTATCCGCTCTTTTTATTTGGTCAGGTTTATATTATCCTCTTAACTATTGAATTATTTCACATCTACTCCTAATAAAAATATTTTATTATTTTATATATTTGTGTTTGGGATAAAGTGAAAAAAATACATAATTTGGGAGAACAAAACAAAATAACTTTATATGAAATTCATATCGTAATGTGAATAATTATGACAATATGATACTAATAACATAGTTGATAGTTAGAAGTATAATTTCAATGACAGTTTAAGTAGTAATAAGAATGAGTTGTAAACTCAAACACCTTGAATTTAAATCTTGACAATTTTTTGGAATCAGACTAAGAAATATTTATCCATCAGTCCCGATGTAAATGATTTTTCTTTGACCAGGCTTAGGAAGGAACTAGACGAGGTGCACGCAAACTCGTCCGAATATCTCTGACCGTAGAATTAAAAAAAAAAATACTTGAAGGATAATATAAATATAACAGTTACTAAAATAATATGAAAATAGGGAAAAAATGAGGAAACAGAAACGTAATTCGCCTGAAAAGAGAAACTTCTGAGAAGCATTAAAGACGACTATCGTTTACTTTGACGTTCAAGAAATGTATTCCGTGGATACCCCCATAGCCATAGCCATAGCCATAGCCATGGCTATTAGAACATGAATCTCAGAAACTCCGGTTATACTCCACAATGTTCATCAATACGGCGTCGTTTCGAGTCCTCCTTCTTTGTCTCCTGTCCGCCATAGCTCTCTCAAAGTCCATCATCAAGACTCTACCGGGCTTTCCCAGAAATCTACCCTTCAAACTTGAAACTGGGTAAGTTTTATAATCTTCTTCTCTTCTTTCATCATTCTTTGATACAGCAGAAACCCCCTTTTTTTTTCTTCCCATTTTCCATCGGTAGTACTATCCATCACCTATGGTAATAGAATAGATCATATATTTTACATTTATAAATTTTGATACGGTACCATAATATTCCCCTTTTCCATCCATTTTTTTCCCACCGTACCAAACAGAGTTTAAAGTTCAGGCCACTTACGATCGGTTGTGGGTTTAAGTTACATTGGTGTAGGAGAGAGAGATGAAGTGCAGTTGTTCTACTTTTTCATTGAATCAGAAAGAAATCCGAAAGATGATCCTTTCATACTTTGGCTTCCCGGGGGTCCTGGTTGTTCTGCTCTTCGTGCCTTCTTCTATGAGAACGGTATTCCCATAATCTTCGTCAGATTGCTTTTTCAACTATAATTCTTCTCTTGTATAGCTTCAGCTCTAGTAATTAATTTGAATCTTGATAATTTTTTTTTGAACTAGATTAGTAGGAATTTATTCCTTAATAATATTTTAATTTTGACGTGAATTGTTTGTCTTTGAACCGATAAAAAAACAGTAAAGAATAAGTCAAGATGTACATAAATTGATCCAAACACCCGTTGAACCAAAAGAAAAAGTCACGCTTTATCTTGAATGAACTATGCTATTTTATTTCACTTTTTCTAGGCACTTGTATATTTTGTGACCAAAAGAACGAGTCATTTGTAGTTGGGGCGGTGTGAAATGATAGTTAAAAGTATAAATGTGAGAAATTTAATAACTCAAGAGGTAAAGTGAGATTAATGGCATAATTGACAGGGTCAAAATATAATTTACCCAAATTTGGTAATCTGACAGCTACAAAACCCTGTGGGGAGCGAAAAATTTCAAAGAAAAAGATTGCTCGAAGAAGACAACGGAATGAAAACACATAAATTGCTTCAAACAAAAGGCCCACATTTTTTTATTTTTTGATAAGTATGAAAAAGGATAGGTTAAAGGAGAGTGCTCAGGGGTCATCTGATAACCACTCACTAGTGGAATTATGAAACTTCTAATTGCGCCCATTATTCCTCTTAGAATTGAATTTAGTTAGGGTAGTATAACAGTCAACTATGAAGTACGGATACGGATATGAGATACAGTTACAATACAATACAGATATGACAATATGATAAAGTCTAAAAATGTAAGATACGAGTACGACTAAAATACGGCTATAATAAAATATATTTAATATTTTTATTATTTTCAACCAACTTAATACTTATATATTTTTATAGTTCATTAATATACAATAAGAAAAATTAGTAATTTTTTTTAGTTTTAAGAAAATATATATCGTATCGTTGTAGCATATTCACAAAGTGAAGTGACTAATTAAAGGAATCAAAGATAATATTTACCTAATATTTAGAAGTAATTTTTGTTAAGATAATAATATAATAACTTTATTTTATGCTCTTTTGACATATAATTATAGATAATACTTAAAAAACACTCATGTGCATTTGGAGTAATATGAATTTTTTATTAATGTATTGTATGATATGTGAATTCGAAAAGAGACATTAAAAGTTCAACTCAAAAATTATATATGTTGTTCGACCACAAAAGTATCCGTGAAGTATCTAATATTTAATTATTATCGGGCACGTAAAAGGTGTATCCGATACGTATTATTGAGTATCCGATATGGTATTGGATACAGATACATCAACCTCAACGAAATATCCGTGTTTCATAGGCGATCTATCACCGAGCCTCAATGTAGACTTTAAGACTCGAATTTTCAACTTTAAAATGAGAAGTTCAGTCAATACTCAATTGGACCACCCCCACTCGGTGGTGCCCTTATGGTTTGGTTATAATAACGTTGTGGATGGAAGTATTCGATATGATTGAGAGTACAATTATATGGTTTGGTTGTAATAACGTTGTAGATGAAAGTATTCGATATGACTGAGAGTACAATTATTCTCTTTCATCGAAAACTAAATGTAATAGCATTATTGAATATCTAGAGTCATAAGTTAAAATTCATTGAATGAGCACCATTTTTTCATAGAAACTGGTAGGAGTGTTCACCATACCCTACGGATAGAAAATATGGACTCTTCCAACTTGATACTTTGTGAAAAAAAAAATTCTTGACCTACTCTACCCAATCAAGTAAGGTATTTCTATCCGACTTCTAGCCAAATTAATCAGATAGGAAATCAGGTGAACATTTTTGTAGTTATTAATTTTTGGATAATGTGCGTGCAAGATCCTGCACAATATAAAAACGAGAACAGATCTCTCCCTTGGTGAACTCGAGTGAGCCGGTTGAGTGACCAACCACGCGGCTTGGTACAGCCTGCGAGGTCCGGTGGTAACCTGGAACGGCAACGGGAAACCCTGGGGAAGCGGAAGAACGATCCAGTAAGGCTGAAAGAGGTTCCTGGAACAAAGAAGAACAAGTTAGAAGGGCGCCGGAGTGTTTTTCGGCGTATCCCCTCCGACGATCTAGTCAGTCTTTGAGAAAGAGAGAGGAAGGAGAAAACACTGAGTGGGTGTTGTAGTAAAGAGTTTTTTGTTGCATACCCGTTTTGCCTTTTACAAGGAGTATTTATACCTCAAAAGCTCATGATTGCTGTCAGTGTAGTCAGTAGGTGATCATTAGGTACAGGCAGTGTGCGCACTGATTCTGATGAGGAATGTCTTCTCTTCTTAACTGCTCGGGGTCCCGAGCAATCAATGCTGTGTCATCGGGATGCCGACGATACAATGTACTCCTCTCGTGGAGGATGCAATAAATGCTCTGTATTAGGAGCATTTATTGCCTTTCATTTCCGAGCCTTACCGCCTTGAATGCGGTCTCATCAAGGGAATGGTGTAATTAATAGTTTGCTTTCCCAAGTTGCGTGTCAGCAACGGCATGTGGTTTCTCTGTCTTTGATGTGATATCATACGCCACGCGTCCATCCCCTATTGGCTGTGACCCCTGCATTCCAGTACGTTCTGACACTAATTGTGTAAGACGAGGTCATGATGAATAGCCTAGACTAGCCTAGGCTAATGACCTGTACGTCAATAGCTTATCCTGGAGTAGAGGAAGCGTCCAGGACGGGATACCTCTCGGCACCGAGGAAAGGCTCATCTCGGAACCGAGGGAGGTATGCCGACCGAGGTACCATATCAGACCGAGGCCACGTGTCGGTTGTAAAACATACTGAATGTATGATCCTATATGACGAGTACCTCGGAGGCGAGGACCCTGTGCGCCGATGGTGCTTGATCTTAGCAACAGTGTTTTGGTAATACCGAGGACACGTGTCTTCATCATGGAGCATTTCAGAAAAGTCCCATCAGATAATTTTAACATTTCAATTAAATGACATGCACCAATTTTACAACAAAATAAACAAATAACACTAAAACTTAAAACAATTACAACAACAATTACAATAAGACACAAGAAAACATAAATATCAATCCATCATAATTGTTGTACAAATACAATTACAATTATTTTAAGTTTAAACCATATAGTTAGGGAATTAAGGTTTTTAATTTATATATATATATATATATATATATATATATATATATATATATATATATATATATATATATATATATGCGGGTAAGGTAGGGTAAAAATACAAAAATTAATGGCTATTCCGCATTTCTATCCAATTTTTTCGGTTAGCTGTTCAATAGAATCGGGTAGGGTAGGAAATTACGGATAATCATAAATTTGAACACCCCTAGAAACTGGCAGGCAATAGAATCTCCTTGTGTAGGGTAGTTTTAAAAATCGTCCCAGACTTCAACTCGGCAATGGGTCACCGGTAGGGGTGACAATTTCTAACATGACTCAAAAACCATATGAAATTAGTAGTTAGAGTTGGTCATTTATCGACACGAACATATAAATAACACAACTCGTTAACACGAATAATAAATGAGTCGAGTTAGTGTCAAATACGAACAACACGAAATTAATACGATTAACACATTTAATTAGTATTATAAGGTTAAAATATTAATTTTTATTATATTTTATCAAGTAGCAATATAATTATTGTTAAAAAAGTATATTTTTACTTATTTTTATTTTTATATTTATTAAATTAATTTTCAGTTTATAAAAAAAGTATGAGCATAGGTTTGATTAAGTGATAATTAAATTTTAGACTTAAATCTGAAAGTTAAACATCAGTGATTCTTCATCGTAGAATGGTTTAGAGGTGAATTTATAATTATACCTGCTAGAAATATTTTTATTATGCTAGTTTTTTTTATCTTCACCCCGCTGCACACCATCATTTGTCTTGGCAAATGCTTTCTTTTAAATGGTTTTACCTTTCTTTGTAGGCCCTTTTACATTTAACTATGCAGATTCCTATTTAAACAAGCCAACATTGGTGTTGAACCCATACTCTTGGACAAAGGTTTTATATTTTTCCATACAGCTTGGTTAGACTACAATATTCAATTAATTCATGCAAAAAAAAAAACCTCTCATCTCTCAATTAATGAAAAGTGGGGTTATATTTTTGTAGGTTGCAAACATAATATTCATTGATCAACCTGCTGGCTGTGGATTCTCCTATGCAAAAACTCCGGAAGCTTACAACACCAGTGATACTATATCAGCAACACTGACTTATGATTTTCTCAGAAAGGTGATACAAACCTATTTGAAAAAAGAAAGTTCAGTTGTATGGAGTTTAAGTACATGATCTTATTCTGTAAAGAGCTTCTAAATCACCATTATAGGACTTCTTGCATGAATTTTTTTTATTTTTTATTTTTTGCATGAATTTTTAGAAGCCTATAATTATATTGATTAATTGAGAGTGATGGATTATACATCAGCATTCCAACATTTTCCTCGTGCAACATTGGAGAACTAATGAAACTAATAAGAAGGCTTGTTTAATCTTTTGATTGTGATATGATGCAGTGGCTTATGGATCACCCCAAGTTTCTCGACAATCCACTATACATTTGTGGCGTTTCCTATATGGGCATGGTTGTTCCAATCATTGTTCAGGATATATATGATGGTATGTGTGGTCATGGAGACTCCTTTGCTTTCTGATGTTTCTTTGTATAAATCTTTATTCATGATAAAAGCTGAAACCAAGTTCTTCATTGAGCAAGATTTGGATCATGCTATGGATTTTCATTCTTTTTTCGACTTTTTTTTTTTGGTATAGGTAATGAAGCTGGAAATGAGCCACCAATGAATATTCAAGTACCTGATTCCATTTAAGATTTTCAATGGGTTGAGTTTCATTTTATTCTATTCTAATTCATCACGAGTTTCATTTTATTCTGAGTTTCATTTTATTCAATTCAGGGATACATGCTTGTCAACCCTCTAACAGATAAAAATAGTGACGTTAATTCCAGAATTAAATATGCTAATCGTATGGCACTTTTATCAGATGAACTATATGAGGTAACTTCTTATACTGTCGTACTACATTTTTGAGTTTTTTCGAGTTTTCTAAGCTCCCCAGGAACCTGTAAGTGATAGCTAGTAGTACAGTACTGTGTATAGATGAGTCAATAAAGAAATCACGAGGTAGACAAGTTGGTCAGAAGTTCACTATATATAGCTAACTGGATATATTCCGTTCGAGTGTCCTCTTGGGGTCATCCTCGAGAATTTATCCTCATAAATTTCAATGTTGGACAAAGAGGCTGCAAGTGCGTGATAGGATTGGTTAGGTGCTTGGGAGATCCGGATACCTTCTAATTAGCATAAAAATTGAATCAACCAGAAGTATTCTTTGCAGAAATACGAAAATCCTTCCCTGTTGTAATTAACCTTGAATTTTTTGTTTCATTTCAAAGACTCGTTCTAAAAATCTGTTTCCTCAGTCAACCAAAGCAAATTGCCGTGACAATTACATACAAGTAGATCCTGATGACAGATTATGCACAAGTGATCTACGAGTAGTAGACAAGGTGAGCCGGATTTTCCTACCTTGTTTTTCATAATGCATTTTGTCATATTCAGTTTCTATAGTCATTAAAAAGATCTTCCATTTGATTGTAGTGCCTCGAGAACATTTATTTTCAACAAATTTTAGAACCCTTCTGTGGTACAACAGTCGCAGAACCAAACTTGCTGATACGGGGCAGAAGCTCTCTTGAAGAGAATCCCATAGACCTACCTCGAGAACCATGGTGTCGAGTAATGCCACTCCCTCTCAAACAATTGCAGTAATTTGGACTTCGTTGAGAAATATTAACATGTTAATCTTTTTATTTTTATAGGAACATAACTATTATTATGCTGATGTTTGGGCTAATGATATAGCTGTTCAGAATGCTCTTCACATCCTCGAGGTACAAAATTACATATAATCTAACGAGAATCAATATCACATTTGATTTTATTTAATCAACCCATTAAATATGATCTTTCAGGGAACAAAAACAGAGTGGGTGCGATGCAATAAGACTTTTGAATACTCGTTTGGCAGAAGTGCAGCCATATCTTACACATTTAATGCCCCCAGCACTGTTGGATACCATCGAAGTCTAACATACAAAAATTGTCGAGCTTTAATAACCAGGTAATTTTATCTTTAAAACTGTTTTTATTCCTCTTTCTACTGCACCTCTGAACAAACTTTCTTTCTAAACAAAAAAAGACATTTTTATATGGACGTTGTATGTTTCAAAAAATGGAAAAGGGATAAAGAAAAGGCATTGTAACCTCAAAAATCATCACAAATGTAGTCTATGGATGCAATTATTGGGCTTGTTTGTTTGTTTGTTGTAAGTTGTGACACATGGCAATGGTTCACAAATGCATAAGACCGAACCAATTTGCCCTTCGATCCTATTTTTGCACTCTTTCACTAAAATACCATACTTTCAATTTATTTCCCAAACTATTGTTTTTTAAACATGCTTTTACATTGCAATGCATGACGTTGAATCATGCTTTTATGAAAGCAACGGTAATTTGGAGAATAAGTTTGGAAGTGCTGTATTAATGAAAAGAAGTTGGAAAACTGCCTTAGATTTGTTGGAGAGGTGATACAATGGACTCCTACCTTAACCAATAACCTGAAATGAACATTTTTCAAACTATGTGCATGTCTTGGTGCATCTATTACCCTATATTTTGAGAAAAGGAAGGGAGTCTTGGTTTCTCCTTCTCCAACCGCTCTCATATCCAAGTTTTATGTTCTTTCAGCGGTGATCATGACATGGTGGTTCCACATCTGGGAACAGAGAAATGGATAAATTCTTTGAACTTAACAGTTGAAAGTGGTTGGAAACCATGGTTTGTTGAAGGTCAAGTAGCAGGGTGAGCTTTTGAACCTCGAAACATTTTTGCTACGTAGACATGGGCTGTTTTTAAACTCCCAATAATTGAGAGTTCCTTGCAAGTATATATTATGTAATTTGTGGATGATTAACTAAAAGTCTCTTAAAAAATAAACTGATAACATAATTTGTTTTATGCAGATATACAGTGTCTTATACACACAATAACTACTCATTGACATATACTACAGTCAAGGCATGAAATCTTTAACTCAAATCTTTATTTCAATTAATGGAATCCGTAAGGTGAAAACCAACGTTAATTATTTCTTCATACCTTGTACAGGGAGCGGGTCACACAGGTCCAGAGTACAAACCGAAAGAATATTTAGCTATGATTGATCGGTGGTTTGCTTATTCCCCTCTTTAATCCACAGTTACAGCTCTAAATTAATTCAATCGTCCTGCCTCGTTCATTATTTCAAATTAGATATAGGTGACCTACTCATATATATCTGATTTTTTTCAATTTGACGGTCAAAGTCTCGGACAATTGATTACCTTTTAATTATTTTGTTACGAGGCTTTTGGGAGTTTCCTAAACTTTATGTCTTCCGTGGCTTTCGAGAAATAATGTCACCTTCTCATTTTTTCAAGTCTATCTCTAGACACTGGGGACTATCATTTTTTTCAGTACTATGAGGTCCATCCTCAACGACAGTTGCTTGGACGTCTAATAGAAGGTTTACCACCCGATGAACAAGTTCTCATTGTCACTAACCACAATTTCGCAATAAAGGAGATACACTATAAGAGATGAACCAATAATTATGGAAGATATAAATCATATAATACATATGAGATTGGTGTTGAATATTATTTGAGAAATCTATAGTAAATAATCAAGTTGAGTATGTTTTCATATAGATTGTGTGAGATGAGTATAGAAAAAAACCCTAAAGGTGAAAATTGAAATAAATTTAGTCATTAATTGAGTAAGTATAGAAAGTGGTGCCTTAGTTACCAATTGGGGTGGGTATAGAATGAGTGTACTTAGTAGTTTTGTAATTTATAGTTTTATGATTTTCTGATAGACGTTTGTGTTTGGATCACATAGATACAAATTAAGAACTTTAAGGACCAATTATATATTTTACGCATACTTTGATGTTAAAACCATGAAAAAAAAAATGTTAAAACCATGGATCCACCCCCTTATTGCATATTTTATCCAACACTTTTCTCTAATATTCCAGTTATTAAGTTAAATTCTCAATTTATTAAAACACAAAAAGGATCAAGATTTATCAAATTTTCATTTACTTTGATCCAATGGTACAAATGTAACTCAAAAATTTTAATCCAGCTCAAAAATATTATATTCTCTGCATAACCTTTAATGTCTAATAACTCAATCAACACGTTCTCCAATAACAAACAACCCCTTAATCCTCACATAACTATCCTTTTTTTTTTGTTTAAATATAAATATTGCATAATCAACGTTTAATTTTTAATATTGTATAGTATTTTTAGACACAAAATTATTCCTAGTGTGATAATAAAGCTCACCAAATAATCCAACTTAATACCTGAACCACAAGCACCCTTATAACATTAAAAAATACAGGGATTAAATTCGAGGGAGGGATAGATGGTCTGTTTAGTAGAATAGATTACAAAATATGATATATGCATTTTTCCTCCATAAAAGAAAGAAATTTATTTTCCTTCCCTTTTGGTTTGTATAATGGATAAAAAGTTGAAGGGATAAATTTTTTATTATTTGATATAAGAGAAAAAAATAAAAAGGCATTTCAAAGACATTATAAGAAAAGAGGTGCAAGTAATAAAGGTATAAACGTAAATCTACTTCACAACAACATAGCAGCCACCTTTTCTCTCCAATTTTCCAACCTCACTTTTTCGTCCACCCATTTCAGACCTATCAAAGATAGGCAAAAAGTGAATGTATGATCCTGATTTTTTTAAGTAGAAATATTAAAGATACTAATGATGTTGGGGTAAGACAATGTTTGTTTTTTTTTTTTGAGCAATGGGGAAAAGGGTGAATATTAGAATAATAAAAGAATTGGAAGAAAAGGACAGTTAAATGAATGGAACGAAGAAAGGGATAAAAAATAATAATAATATAACATGGAGGGTGAGTGGCCAATTGTTCACCAGTGTATGTGTGTGTTTTGTCAATAAAGTTTGGTGGGGGTACTGGTTAGATGCATGTGAGGTCTTCCACTACATCTCACGTATGCATTTAAAAGAGTGTGGTTTACAAAATTTATATTTGTGTGATGATTTTAAGGTACGAGTTAATTATAATATGTTTATTTTTGAATCTCTTTATTTATAAAGAGTTTTTTTTTGATTATTTTTTATTGTATTCTATTTTATATTATCGTAATTCTGAAGTTCAAATTTAATTTTTTCGAGTTCAATGATCGTGTTTGAGACCGCATGGTGATAGTCAAAAGTCCATTGCATTATGAGATGTCAAAGCTTTGTTCTAATCTCGCATTATGTGGATATGCAAAGTATGTGTTGATTCGTTTCTGTTGTTATTCAAGATACTTGATATTTGTTACGTGATCTTTTATTTATTTGGTATTCAATATCATTAGACATATTATTTTTGGTCATATTATATATTTTTTGTTTTATTTAATATTTTTAGTATAATTTAAAGAATCAAATAGGAAAAAAAAAGAAATTAAAGATAGGTGGATCTCGATAAAATTTTTGTAATACTGAAATTTAAAGATTTATAATTATTTTAAGATTAAATTGATCATTATAATTTTATTGAGAGAGAGAGATCCGACAATTTAAAAGAATTGAAAGTTGATGAGAAATTTGCATATTCTAGTCATAACCCATGTCTAAATGTACTAAAAAACATAAAATTTGAGCGTCTAAAAAATTGATCTCACTATATTAAAATTTTTTAATATGTTATATTATCATATATGAATAATGTTTGAAATAAAAATTATGTTAAATTATAAATTAATCAAATATTAAATAATTAAATATGTGATAAAAAAAGTGATGTGATATTTTTATTATATAGATGACTGGATTTAAATTTAATACATCACATCACTTTTGTCAATGCTAGATATAAATAGTCAAAATCACCCAATAAAATAAAGAGAAAATTTTGGTACGGTGTCGTCGCTTATTATTTTTATGATAAAATTATAATTTTAAAAAGAAGAAGTTACAACTGTTCAAGATAATTATAATTAATCACAAATACACATGATTAAAAATGACGTTTTATTGAACAGTTTTAATTTTTCTCTTATGAGTTGTAATTTAACCGTTAAAAATTATAACTTAATATTTGATAATTATAATTTCGATATCAATCTTAA